TATAGCATACACATCGAGTGTTCCGTGTCTCGGTTAATGCAGGAATTTTTCGCTCGTCAATTTTGCCGGTCAAGAGGCAATAGAATAATAATCGAATAACAATCAGCATAATTTTCATCTTTGCGTCGGCCCCGCAGCTTCCCAAAATAATAATAATCGTCACACTCCCGCACTCCCGAAACGACGTTACGGCGGAATAATTTTTGCTCGCGCACTATCATTAGATTTCCATAATTGCGCGCAGCGATGTCCGCCCTCTTGGCTCGATAAAACAATTCCCTGGAATAATCAGCATTATTTCAATGACAATATCCATTGTAATTTTCCCGGATTCGTCGCTCTCGCTTTAATTCGACGTCGCGGGCACTCCCTTCTGTCGTGTCTCCACAGCGGCACCCTCTCAATCTTCAACATCTCTTACACACTTTTCTTTCCCTCGCCCGCACGCTATTCTTGTTTGCTCCTCTTTCTCTCTATTCCAGGCAGGGGGAGTAGTCAGTAGAAAACGCCCGAGTGTGCATTTATGCGTACGGGGAGATGGAGAAAATCGGAAGTTGTGATCGACGTGGAGACCCGCGGAACTGATGTGTCAAGGACAGCGCGAACAATGGGAGGCTGCCACACAAAGCCGTCACTCTCTCCCTTCTTCAATACTCACCCGCGCAAAACGCCTTTCTCCGTGGATACGTGTACGAATGGCCCTCGTTGTCGCAACATTCATTTCGCTAGCTTCATTTTTAGGCTCCGCCGCGAGACGACAGGGGAGAGGCATTATGACGTGTCGCCGGCACGCGTCCTAATTTTTTACTCTCAAATCGGCGGCGGTGGCGGTGGCGGCGGTGGCGGCGACGGCGGTCGACGCTCCCGCAACCCTTACCCAATCTGGGCCAGCGTTTAATACATCACGCGCGCGCGCTGCTCTCTTCTCCTCCTCCCTCTTCTTTTCGCCTCGAGGATAAACAAACGCACGCGTCTTTGGAAAATAACTAAGCTGTTTGTTTTACGAGGGCCCTTATACGCGCGAGCGAGCGCGCCACTGTGAAAGCCTGCACGCGCCGCTCGAAAGTCACATCGTCAATGCGAGCCTTTGTGCTGCGAGAAGCCTCCGACCATGCATTCTTCGAGTGGGCATACGTACGCGTACATACCGCGCTCGCAGACTTATTTTTGGCTTTCGATAAATAATTATCGCTCGATACGTTTCGTGCCCGGGGTATGAGGCGCGCGCGCGACAAACAATGGGCCGACTCCTCTTTTTTTTCTCCTTTTACGGGCCTTCGAGAATTTCTACTTGGCGGATCGATCGTAAATAACTTTTATTTGAGAATTCGTTTTGTGAGTACGCGCTCAAACTCTCTTTTATGACCACTGCGTGAGATCAAAACCGAAAAACTTGTTGATGTAGGGCTTGCGCAGTCTAATAAATAACTATAAATGACATTAAATGAAATTTTTATAACATTTTTAAACTACCCATTGCATAGTAGTGTACGCGATTTTTTTATTTTTCGTCGCTACCATGATCGCTGATATAGAGCGCTAAATAATAAAAGAATACTTTTATTATAGACTTTTGACCTGCGCTATAAAACACTCGGCGGTTCAATCTTCGTTTTCATTATTGTTTCGCTGGCAACGTTAAGCGAATCTCTGCGTCTGTACATCGATTTCAGTAAAGTCAATACATCTCTCGGAGAGAGCGATCGTTGGGAAATTTGATACCATTGCAATTGATAATCTGATAAGTTTCTTGATCAGAAATCCAATCGCAAAAGCAGAATCCATAACCCGATTTACCAAGGCATCCGCTGGCAACCGAATCGGATCGCTTAAAAATACAACCTGGTCGTAAAGCGAAAGAGAAGATGAGTGAACGCATCGTGGCGCCAAATTAAACAATTTCCCATGAGCGAACGCGGCGAGGGAGAGCAACGGCCGACTAACCGCGGACGCACATAACAAAAAAGCGAAATTAGCGCAATCAGAGAACAATCGTGGGCTCGTTGGACCGGGCGTGCTTGTGCGAGCTGCTGCAACCCTCCTCGAGGGAACAATTAACCGTCGTCCACGTCAAGTCACTCAAAGAATCCCAATAAAGCGAGCACTCGCGCGCGCATATAGCTTCACGATAGAGAGCGAGAGAAAGGGGCTCTCATTCGAAAATGAATGTCCACGAGCATGCAATAATCGCGCGTCGCTTTAAACTCATTTTTCCGTCGCGCGAGTCGGTAGGTGGAATCGTCTAATCGTTCGCGAAAAATACTGCGGGCCGATGCGGGCGAAAAGGACTCGCGCGCACGCACGTACATCCACACTCGAGAATTGCTTGCGTGCCCATTGTTATCCCCCTCGTCCGTCTTGCGCCGATATATATCCTTTCCGCAATATAAGGGCTGCGCCTTCTTTCTCTCTCACTCTCTGCTCGTGTGAGCGAAGGAAGGAAGCGGGCGAAAAATAGGAGGAGCTGTGCGCGCCTCGAGGGAACAAAACTTTCTTCTTCAGCCGGAGTTGTAGCTTCAGGCCGGGGATATAGCTAGTATGTTAATTTTACGTGTTGCTCAATGTTAATGTTATTCCGGGCTAATGAGTTCAAAGAGTTTTCGGCTTAATTGTTAGGCCCCTAAATTGCTGAAGAGCAGGCGCTTGCTTCTCTTTTCTCTGAAAAGGAGACAGAAAAACTATACGACGTACGAAATGCGAAATGTCTATTGTGCTACGACCGAGTGGCTAATTAACGTATCAAGTTGATCTCTCGCTAGCTCTCTTTGACAACGGCTCTACGCCAAATTATAGGTCATTAATGTCTGTTCTTTCAATCGTTCGTTCCTTTCTTCTATTGAGTTTGCTCAATTAAAATCTCATTGTGGCTGATTTGTCGTGTGTAGCACAGCTTTCCTTTCTTATTGCAGATGAGCTCTCGTAAAAAACAATAATTCGGTTAATTCGAGTGATGGACATCGATAAATGTTTGAATATCGACTTGAAGGAATTCCGATATAGCAAGAGAGAGAGAGAGAGAGAAAAGGTATTCTTTTGAATTCCCATTCATATTCAAATCTCGCTGCCTTATCCAATGATTTCCAACGGATATCGGATATTGGATAGAAATGCTCCGCGAGATTTTCTGAGTGCTATTCACTACAGCTTTCCTAAATCATTTACACAGTATCGAACATCGTACTGTGGAGCTTTTGATTTGATAGCCGAGAGAATATCAATAAGCAGTAATTGTCAAACAGCGTATATTGCAATTTACATTAAGGTAAGATTAAAATAGACAAATCGATATGATCCCGCAGTTGGCTGTCATATAATTTTAATCAGCGCGTCGGTTCAACATGATTTCCCAGTAGAAGCAGGCGAATGTGCCAAGTAACCGCCGCGGCCCTTTTACAGCCAGGTTGATCCACATTTTTGATCTCACTGCTTGCGCAAACAGATGCCGAGCAAAAAACTGGAAAAAAAAGGAGGCGTATAAAATCTAACGAAAAAAGAAGAAATGGAAAAAAAGAGAGAAGTTTGTGACAGTGTACACGAAAGTGTCAAGTAGCTACTCCCTCAGCGTGAAAAGGGTGAGTGAGAGAGAGAGAGAGAGATCCGGCGGCGCGAATTGTGCGCGTGAATGCGCGGCCGAAAAATAGGAGGAGCAGTCAAGTCCGTAGTATGTATGTGTGCGACGGCTGCAACTAAAGGGAGAAGAAAGGGAAGAAAAAGAGGAAAGAATATATACGTAGGGGAAAAGAATTGTATGGGGACGCGACGCGACGCAAGAGTCGATGTGTGACTCTGCCTTTAAGCCGCTTTTCCACCAAAGTGCAAAGTCGACGTGTGTATGTACGTATGTGTGGGAATCAATTCGCTTATCCTCTCTTTGAAGGTAGGGAGTTATTACGTCTCCTTCTATTCTCTCTCTCTCTCTCTCTCTCTCCCCGTGCCAACGCGAATCAGGTATGCATGTAAGAAGATTTGCAGTCGTCGGCGCGATGACAAATATGCAAATTTGCCAACGTTGAAAAGAGCGTCAGGCAGAATCAGCTTCTTTTATTCCTCGCGTCGAAGGGGCGCAGTAGACTATAGAGACTCTTTTGCGCCCGCGCAGTGTAACATGGAATTCGAGCAGATTTTGCAATTCTCAAAAAATATTCGATGTGTAATACTTTTTTATCGGCTTTCCATGCGGATTCGCGGCTTTTTATATCCGTCTTTGCTCCCAACTCTTGTACAAGATTTGTTTCCAATAGCTCGCTCGAGTTGAGAGAGTCGATCGGAAAAAGTTATTTGTGGGATTTTCAAACGTGAGGCACTTACCTTTTCATTCGAGCATACCCGGATGACGCATTCGATGAGCGATGGGTGTCGGGAAGGTGACGTGTTTAGCTCAAAAATAAAAAATATTATTTTTGCGTTACGTAGACATACGATGTGTAGAACGTTCCAGATAGTGTGTTGCTTTTAACATTTTTCATTTCCGTTTGAAAAGAATGTTGAAAAGGTGTCCGGCTCCTTGTACGGTAGCTTTTCTTTGAATGGAAATCATATACGCTTGTACGCACGTAATTCTTTACGCACGCGCACGCACACACACAACACTGATACGTCGCTTTATCATCGTATCATTTTACAAACTCCAAAAGCAGCGAGCAAAATAATTTTCGCCGACAACTCAGCGTAAATTGAACTTGTTCACAAGGCGAATTAAATATCATGTGTATAAGGCAATTATAGCCGGGCCAAGGTATGCCTCGAGTCATTCGAAAAAACTCGACGTCAGGTCTCGTATCACCTGATGATCGTGAGAGTTCATGGCAGTTGCAGACCATTTATGTGTCGACATCAATGCCAAAGGCCTGTAATTCTGTAATTAAATAAATTACACGGAACAAGTAATAAAAAAAAGACAGAACTCGCGTTACAGCTGGAGGTGTCTCTGCCGCTGCTAATAAAAAAGTAGGATAGGAAACATTGAAAAGGAATCAGTAAATCAGCAAACGTGTCAGGTATACAAGAATATTTTATTCGTCTAAGATAACAAATATACAAATTTCAAGATATCTTCTTTTTTCAACTAAACGGTTTGCCGACGATCTCGAAATAATAATGACAATCGAATAGTTGAAACGAACGAATGAAAACGAACGATAAACCGCGATATCAGCGTTTCTCTCTTTCTCTGACTCGTCTCTCGAGGCCGCGCTTGGAGAGTCTTAACATCATCTCGTCGTTCGTTGGCCTCTCTCTCTCTCACTCACTCACTCTGCACGTAATACGTTATATGCGTATTCCGTGTCCGCGCGCACGTTTCCTTCGCATGCATTTTAAATTGTATAATAGGCGCCGCGGGCGCGTACCAGTCGTGCGCAGAGCCCGTCGCAAGTGTAAAACGAAAAAAAGTTGATTTTCATTTTTCAACGTTCGGAATAAATTCCTGTTTTCCGTGAACTTTCCGCGTACAAGTGTGTGGGTGATAGATTATATTGTCATGGATTTTCCGTCGCGTATAGAACTTTCCGATACAGCGAGAGCAAGAGAGGCGAAGATAAACTTTTCAATCGCGCGGAAAATGCACTCAGTCTCGCGAGCAGGAGAGTTTTCAGTTGGCGGAACTCAGATTTAAACATGCGATGCTCACACGGTATCTTTTTCTTTACAAACTTGGCACAAACGGATCAGTGAACGACTGCCCTAAGTGTTGAATTACTCTCTTCCTCTCCCTCTCGCTCGCTGCGCGCACATTTACATAAGCTTAATAACGAATTCTTATATAAGATTTTTTTTTCTTGGCACCGATCCTACAGTAGTTTCTTCTCTCATGCGTTACAATGATCAGCGTATTGGTTATCCTACTAGAGTCATGGTATCTCGCTTCTTACAACGAAAAAAAAATGTTTACTCTATGCAAGACATTCTGTCGCATTTAATTCCTCCCCCAAGAGGGAAATCTTTACTTTATACGTTTACGATGAGTTTCTTTTCCATTTCTTTCTATATAAATATTCATAAGAGTTCAAAAAACGTCGTTTTTTTCTATTACCATTCGGGAGGTTGGTTAGTGTTTCATTATAATTAACACTTACATAGAGCCGTCATTTTTCTCATATCAGCGTTGGATTTCCCAATAGCCATATTCGTCGTATCGGGCGTTAAAAACCACTCGAATATCTTTACTTTACCCGGCCGCGACGAAGAAATGATCAGTAAAGGACAATGTGTTTTCGTATTAAAAATATTCACATTACTCTCCGCCGTATTAAACGCATTAATAAAACGATAGGTCAATCAACTAGGCACTGATGTAAAATCGTCTACAAGGCGACTAATTTCGAACTGTACACAAACTCTCGGGGAACACGTAGAAGAGGCAAAGATAAAATCGAAATAGGAAAATTGCTACGCGATATGAGTTTGAATGAAATTCAGTACAAGAATTTTCGCCTAGGCAGTGTGCAATGCTGGCAGTGAAACAATTGCAGTTCTCAGTACAGCTTGTACGTAGTAGTTGCACGATTAGCATATATCTAAAGATATTCCCGTGGTTTTGCTCGCGCGAGCATTCCAGTTATCGTATAGAGCAATGCATATAACTGATCTGCTTTCTGTTGTTTAGGGTCAACCTCGCGTAAATCCCTTTTTGGCCTACGTACTATATAATTCCATATTTAAACTTCATTCATATCTATACAATACATATACAGTTGCATACTTTTCTCATATCTATTTATGTAGACTCTTATTAATGTCGATATTATCGTTTATCATCACGTCCGAGTATATGCATGTGTGTCTACGCGTATTTTTTCATAAATTAACGATCCTCGGTTGTACCGGCGTGATTTAACGCCGACAAGGACCAATATAACGGAAAATAACAGGAGCGCTTGGCTACGAAAATCCGATTGTTTTAACTACTGACTGATCCGCACTTGTAAAAAAAGGGCGAGCGAAAAATAAAACAACTACGATTGGTTGAGCGACGAAAAAAAAAACAGTTATACCCGAACCCACGGCGCGCGCGACTTGTACAGCCGTTACACACATAAACATTGGAACGTTTTTTTCGTTTTTTTTTTTTTTTTGCTCCGTTAGAGTCGAGAGGAAAAATGAAATATCATCGTGTCTGAGTCGATTGTACGGAACGCATATCGATAAAACTATATGTATATATATAATGGGTACTCTGTCTCGTTTGAGTGTGCGGTCTGTATTATTGGTAGTTTCTTTTCTTTTTCTCTCTCGGCGTTGTTATAGCTTCGCTGACGATTGGCAAGGAATCATTCGAAGAAAAGTGGCAGTGTTCGATCGTTCATCTTTATTTCTGTCTTCTGAGTATTTTCTTCGCTATTTTGAATTGGGATATATATGTTCTCGTTAACGGTTATTAATTTTTTTAATACGTCTAAATATGCATCAAGTTTTCTTCTCGAAAAGTTTGAGTAAAAGGTTGATCATAAATACTGATAAAACTTGGCGTTGATCGATGTGAAAGTTTATTTCAAAGAGCTTGGCGGTTAGGAAGAAGGCAAAAAAATCGTGTTTCTACCAGAGAGATGTAATAATCCGATAATAAGGGCCAGCAAGTTAAAAAGAACCGTAGAGCGAAAAAAAAGAGCGAGGATCGCGAAGAAAAAAAACGGCTGCATACTGGTCCCCGAAGCATATAAATTCATAGTAGAAGAGAAACGCTCGGCTCGGTCTGCCGATAGTTAATAAATCTCGAAGCATTAATCACGTTGGGAGGCACACGAGGCGTGCGTGCGCGCAACTATAGTACATAAATTTAATAAATAATATCTTAGCCGAAAGAATATACATAACCGAAAAAAAAAAAAAGTGGGAGAGAGAAGAAAATAAAATAGAGCAATGTCCGTATGACCGAAGCAACGAGCGCCGAGCGTTCGGTATATTCGAAAACAAACTTTCCCTCTCTCCCTCTAGTTATAATTTAGTTGTTTTCAATCGGCCCGCCTGATGGCCGATCATTATCACCATTCTCTCCTGCACACAACTTTTTATAGTCAATATAACAGTCTCGCAATATATATTATATTTACAGAACATATCGTTACGTCGAAACCTGGTAGTTCATACCTGCCAGCGAGATCGAATCTCGACACACGTACGCGCACTAAACAGTAGCCGAGTCTTTTTCTCGTTTTAATCACTTCAAAGCCATGGTCCAAGCTGAGCTTCGAGTATAGTGGCAGCATCAGTTCGACCCATCACGCGAAGATGATTGAGCAAGTCTGTGACTGCAGTCGGCTCGCGATGCCTTGCTTCCCACAGGTCCAGGATGTGCTCGGTTGGGCTCGACTTGGTCGCAAAGTAGTTGATGTATCTGCAACGCAGAGCACACGCAGGCGAAAGAACGCCGCTCGTTTAGATGTGCCGCGCAAGATAGTAATATACGAAACAGACAACGCGAAGCCGAGCGAGCTTTTTTAATGGCTTATCTTGCCGGAAGCTGCGGCCGCTCGCCGAGCTATGCGCACACTCGTCGTCGCGTCAGCGCCGATCAAAAGAGCACGCGCCACGCTCGCTCTCGTCCTTTTCTCGCGCCAAAGAGGCGTTTCGGCGTATCAAAACTTCATCGCCATGAGAATGCAAATTCACGACGAAACGTCTGCGGCGAATTCCAAAGAAACTCCAATTTAGTCGAGAGCGAGAGCCAATGGAACGAGTATCTAATTCGCGCACGTCGCGCTCGATTAACATGCCTCTTGCCTTCTTTTCCTCGGCGAAGCTATTCGCGAAGAACGAGCTCAACCGAGCGCAACGATAAATTAACGGACGCGAATGAACTGTTGGCCGAATTCGCGATAAGCAAAGTATCCTGCTGGTCGAACCAACTTTGAACGTGCGTATGCGCACCGCTCGACGGTCATTTGCGCAGCAATGCCTTCAGCTTTTTCTGCAATTCCGACGCGATATTTATTGTAATGACGCGGTAAGTATCTTACGAAGGCTTTTACTTTAGTGCGATTGCCATTTACGCGTGAAATCCCAGCGCGGGTTTGCTTCTCAAGTGTGCGCATACCACTTGCGCGCTTGCGGACTGCTGAAAACTGTTGAGTAATTATCAGCGGCAAGTCAACCTGTCAACTGCCAATGTTCGCGTACTGTCATTGTATTTCGACATTTTAAATATGCATCAGCGACGAGCAGAAATAGCTGTGCTCATCAATAACTCGTGATCCGAAAGTTATCGCTCGACATTAAACGGCTTTTAATATTATTTATTCAGGCTCCCGTTGGCGATATTACGCGCGAAATTGAATAGCAAATCCCGTCTCACACGCGTCCGCGCACGTATAGCAGATCTAAAATCAATTCCAATAAAAAGCCGGGCGTGGCGGGGCAGCAGCAAACAACAGCGGCGAACCACACTTTAATAGTTTCGCTTCGGTGGCACAGAAGTGGCAGTAGAAGAAGAAGAAGAAGAACAAGTCGAGAAAGGGGGATGGAATCCCCGAATCCCCGGAAGAAACATTAGAAGTACAGCACTCACCGATCGACGCGCAGCATCTGTGCGAGCATCCTCCAGTCGTTGCCGAGGGAGTTGGGCGGGTCGAGGCACTGGCACAGCTGCTTCCTCAGCGACTTGGTGAAGCGGAACGGTCGCAGCGTCCTCGAGTCGGCGTTGGAGTTCTGCGCGCCGGCCATGCTGCTGACCACCGTCACCTCCCGCAACGGCCTCGTCACGCTGCCCGACGATATCAACTGCTTGGTTCCGTCGTAAATGATCCTGAACACCTGCCTCGCGTCCGTCGAGTTGCTCTGGCTGACTTGCAGCTTGTAGGTGCGCGTGGCCGTGCTGTGTCCAGCGTCCAGCTCGAAGGTCACGCACTTGAGGTTCTCGCGGCTGTTCCAAACTTCGCTGAAGGTCAGCTCTTGGCGCTCGGTGGGCGACTTGTTCTGCCACTCGTTGCCAACTTCCTCGAGGGTGACGCCGAGCGCCTCGCCGTTATCCTCGAACAGCAGCGTGCGCGGCTTGTCCAGGAGGCAACCGCGGATTTGCGCCTCGCGGTCGGCCACAGCTTTGCTCGCGGCTTTCGTGTCCTCGAGCGCGTACACGCGTAGACAGCAAGTGCCACCGTTATTCGGGCTCGCGTAGACTGCCAGCCGCAGCCGCTTGGTGGCTACGTGATTGCTCACGCTGCGCCCGGCGAGGACGTACGTCTTCAGCTGTTCCGTCACGAGGAACACCTCGGCGTGATCGAGTTGCACGAACAGAGGCGTGACGATCGTCTCGTTGCCTATCGTCAGCAACTTGGTCCAGAGTATCGGCTTGTCTTTGACCATGGCTACCGAGGCGCTCTCGTCGAGCTCCAAGTTCTCGCAGCACCAGATGCCAAGCTCCCACGCGGCTGGCGGCTGAAGTATCGCGCAGTGCTCGAACTGCAGTATTACCGGCTTGTTGAAGCTGGCTGTTGCGGGGCCGCAGCTTACCACTGCCGAGAGTTGCGTTACACCATCTGTGCGACAAAACGTGCGAAATCTACGTATAACGTATAACGTATAACGTATAACGTAAAACGTATAACCCTCTCACATGGGGTTGCGCGCGACTAATTGAAAGTCGCTTGCAGCGGCGGGATCTTTGGGTTTTAATGATTGGGGCTGGCAGATAACGAGCGTTAAAAGCGAGATACCTCCTCTCTCTCTCTTTCGAAATTAAACTCGCTGAGAGGTCTGATTCATTGCGGGCCGAACGCATTCACATGGTAATTTTTGGACGAGTAAGTACTCGTTTCGTTATAACGATTGACGGTTAAGAGATGTATCGACTGTGAATCATACCGTGCGCACACGGACACTCTCAAAAGAACGAGCGAGGGTATCGAAAAAGTAAGTCGAAAACGCGGGAGATAGAGAATAAAAGACTCGCAGCGCTAAATGTATCGCTCGTCGAGGCGCTTGGTCCGGAGAAAGAAAGAGCCGACAAAAAAGGGGTGCCGCGAGAGATTAAGCATTTTCTTGGTCTCTCCGCGCGATATTAAGTCCACGTGTAATATTTTAACGCGGTCGTTGTTTTTCTTGGACTTTCGTACAGGCCGAAGCGTCGGGCGCGACAAAAGAACGACGAAATTTGCACGCGAGCGGGGCGGTGGCGGCGACGTGTTTGCTTTTCAGCAGGCACGTCGAGTCTCATCAATTGCTCTCCGCGGCTCATTCTCCGGGCGTGCGCCGCGCACGAATCGAATCGGTTTCCCCGTGGGAGGTCCGCGTCGTTATTTATGCAGTCATATATTCTAGTCGCCCGTCTCTAATTATGAGATCTTAACAGTTTATTACTTTCTTCTTTTTATTGTCTCGTCCCTCCCGTGCTCTCCAACGGCCAATACGCCGAATATAAGCTTTATAACTGCGCATCGCGATGGCTAATAGGGAGGTTAACCGAGCCACGCAACGTTTCTCGATTATGTATCGCGTCAAATTTGCATCTTTTATGTCAGACAGGTAGACTTCAGTAGGGGCTTGCCGAATAAGATTCAGTCAGCGGGAAAGAAAGTTGAAAAGAAAAACGGCCCGCAGTTAAGTTTCACGAAGGCGCGACAAATCTCCAGCGGAGCGCTCATTGGAAATTGATACGCGGCGGCGAGCCGTACAGTCGAGCTCTTGGGCGCGCGAAAGCGGAGTATCGAGAAATGCCATCAATCGCTAAGTGCGAGCTTATGTAAGGCTCAGAGCTTCGCGAGACAGAGGGAATGAACAAGTAGTAGTAGTAGTAGTAGTAGTAGCAGTAACAGTAGTAGCAGTAGTAGCAGTAGCGGTAATAGTAGTAGTGGCAGTGAAACTGCCGGTGTACCTGGTAATTGAGGTCGAAATCGATCCTCGTTGAGGACAGCCACGTGGAGCTCGTTCCTCGACGACTTGGGCACGGCTCCCTCGGGCACCGACATCGAGATCCCCGACTCCGGCAACACCAACAAGGCTCCTTTGGAATTAACGTGTGCTCTGGCTACGTTGCCGGCTTCGAGCGTTGGCAGTCGCACGTTGCCAGTCGCAACGTTGTACGTCGACTCGGTCGACGGATAGGAACTTGAAAGGCTGTTCTCACTGCCGGACAGCATCTGTTTGTCGCTGCCGCAGGATTCGTGAGTCGATGTGCTTGGAGTCGGCGACATCGTCGATGGTACGACCGACGAGGATTGCGGGCCAGAATTGAGCGAAAGATGGGGTACGTCGTAGTGGTGCTCGGAGAGGGAACGAGACATGGACAGCTTTGGGTCGAACGGATACTCGTAGCAGGCGGGTACTATCGTTGCCGTTACGTCCGGCTGCAGGTTCAGCTTTTTCTCTTGGTCCTGGTAGAATTCAGGCTGGAATTCTGCAAAGCAAATCCAACGGGTTTCAACTGCGATTTTATTTAAAACTGTGAGAAATCAATAGTTATGAGCCGTAAGTTGTCGCGCACCCGGCCTCCGTGAATCAGTTACGAATAGACTGCAATATTGATAGCGACTGGACCGTATGGAGTGCCAAAGGGCGAGCTTCATGACAACGACATACCGATCGGCACGCGTGACAGGCGCGCACGAATAAGGTTGGATATCCCAAATAACTTTCCGCGGCCACTATATCATGTAATTAATGCATTCATCAATTATGTGTCCCGGGCGCGCGCGCGCCCTACAAAAACATTAATCTCCCTTCAAAAATAAAAGATAACGATCGTATTATATTTCAAATGGGATTATTGCGCTGCGAGCGCGGACAAATGAGCGTTAATCTGCCTTATCAAGATATATTTTGCAATTTATTTAACGTCCGCGCCGGCTCCGTTAAACTTTTGGCCTCGGCTACATCTGCGACTTTGAGGGAATAAACTTTGAGGGATTAATACAAGCCTAAGATAACAGTAGTCTACGAGAGATATGCCAATCCAGCCCCGAAGAATGTTTTCTCTATTGATTGCTCTTCCGTGTTATTCTCGGCTAGACGGTCGGGTGGCTTCGCGCGGATTTCCGGCAAACCTATATTGACGCTAAATACTTTTGGCAAATATCAATCGCGTTGAGAGGGAATCGCGCCGGACAAAAGACGCCAAGGCGAAATGGCATGGTATCGTGCAGCCCGCGCGGGCAGAAACATCTAACTTTTGTGTGCGAGACAGATCAGAATCGTGTATAGGCCATTTTGTAACATGAATCAGCGGTGGCCAGGGCAGCAGCTTTATCTCGTGCCGCCCGCGTGGGGGTAACGGCTTCCAATTTACCGAACTTTCTTCTGCTTGCCCGCGCGTGCGTATATCAGCCCAATCTCCCCGCGTGCAATCAAATCAAAGACGACCTTTCGCGCTGCGCCGTTTCCTCTCGCTTTAATGCTTCTTTCCACTAGTTTCAGCGCGCTGACTGTCTTTTTGTGCGTTTGCGCGCGCCCGTCCGTGTGTCGTGGAGTTTTATTTCTTTCGCCGGCGCTCTTTATTATCGATGAGCTATCATTTATACTGCAGCGTGTGCGTGGCCGTATAAATAAAATAAAGCGCGCAGCGGCGCACGAATGACGAGATTGGAAAATTGAATATCGGTACTTTGCCAGAATGAAGTGATAAATCTGATTATTGCCTCGGGCTCGGCGATACGCGTAAAGTGAATTTGCTATCTGTCGTTTAACGATTTGCAATATAAGGCTCAATCGGGGGAATAGCTGAGAATGTAGAAAACAGTGGAGCTTGTAATCGAACCAGTCTTCGAGCTCTTTGCCAAAGTAATTGATTTGAATAAAATTTGACGAAACGAATTCCCGCTGATGGAAGATTCAATAAAAACGTTGACGAGAGCCCGACCGACAAATAATAGGATGAAAAGTAATGAGAGTGCGCGAGAGACTGGACTTTGTTACGGCATAAATAGCATTATGACAATCGTAATACTCGACTCCCCTTCGCCATCTCAAATCAACAGTGCAGACTCGCGCTAATGCTGCCTTATGATGTCCAATTGACGAAAGTTTCGTCCCTGCTCTGCTTTTCTCTCTTTCTCTCTCTCGGCAATCGAATAAACCCAAGCCTCGCTCTCTTTCTCTGGTAAATCTTCCCCCCTCATTAGCGCTTCTTTTTCCAGCATTTCCACGGTTCTTTGTGTCCGCCTGAGTGCAAACTCCGTATAAATCCAATAATTGTATAACTCACCGCTTCGGGCCATGGAATAAAGCGAGTGATCGCGTCCCTTTCGCTGGACAAGTTTCACGAGGAAGAAACCAACGCCGCCGATGAGCAGACAAGCGACCGTCAATCCAACGTAGAGTGCGACGTCCATTTGCCGGCTCGCTGCAACACGCATGCAAAGAAAAAAGGGTTCCAGTCACAATTGTTATTACCACCGAGCCGATTGCGTCCTTCGCTAATAAGACTCTCTCTCGATAAAAGCGGAAGTCGTAAAAAGCCCGATTGAGACTTTCTTCGCTTACTGCGCGGACTGGCAGGAAGAAGGGGAGACGTTGCGAAATTGCCACACGTGACGTATGTGATTTTAAAAGACACTTACCCTCTTCGGTTAAGTGGGCTCCGCCGATTCTGCTGCTGTCAACTGCCAAAGAACAAAAAGAAATCAATTAAATTTATGGCTTTTTTCTTTGTAATTGTCGTTTTCTTTTTGGGGCAGACGTTTTGGTCTAATGACACTGAAATTTCGGTAGGTGAAACCGGTCCACCCATTTTGGATACCTGTGTAGTGCCTCGTATAAAAAAGGTGATGAATAAAATAACACTTTTTAGTTATACGTGCACGTCTTGTTTGAAAAAAGGTTGCGCGTCCATTCATAATGTGTTAATTTATTTTGAAAGCGCAGCAGCAAGCGCTTGGGGAGTCTTTCTTTTATATATTTTTTACCACTATATTTCGTTCTTTGTGAGGTAGACCATAAAGGAGACATTGACTGATTCAATAAATATTAAGGAGCATTTTATGATAAGAAGACCTCGTACCCTTATAGGCCCGTTCACGTCTATCGTAAAATGTATATTTGAATAAGTTAACTGCAATGCAAGCGCATGAAAAAAAAGGTGAACGATTTTCGGAACATTTTATTTTATTACATGCAATCTTTGGCGCCCTGTCACGCCCGAATATCGTCGGTTCGTTTTTGCGAGACTTGGTCAAATCAAATCAGAAAATGCCATAAAAGTCCTCTCCTGCTCGATCGCGCACAAATCCAACAAAGCATCAAATTAAACATTTTCACAATAAATGGCACGACGAGCATTCAACGGAACTTTATCTTCCGGCGACCCGAGTTTTTTGCTTCTCATTGCCTCGCGCGGCCGATCGTGGCCAACTCCAAAAAGGGCAAACGGAAATTAAAAAGGAAGTACGCATGCTGAAAGAGAGAGAGAGAGAGAGAGAGAGAGAGAGAGAGAAAGTTTGGGCTCTTACCATTGCACATGCCACCAGTACAATTTCCAACCATAAGGTCCTTGCCAGGACAAGGTCGGCCACCTTGGCTGGCTGCCGGCTCGTTGCAAGTTCTGTGCCTGCTGTGGGTGCAATTACTATTGCAGACCGACCACGCGGACCATCTGGACCAGCCTCCATCCACTGTTATACACACATACAACAAAGAAAACGACCACACGGCTTCACATTACACTCTCGTTACAACGCTCGAAATTTATGATTTTTTGCTCGCAGTCACACTTTGGTTATTTATACTGGTGCGCGCGAGGGGGAGAAAAAGCTCGTTATCGTGCGGTTTTTGCGCAGGTGTAATAAAGACTAATGGATGAGAAAGAGCCAAAAGGTTGGAATTTACTTTTATTTTTTTTTACCAAAGCTACGATATGTACACATACACGACACAGTGAACAAAGAGACACACTCACCGATCATATTAGTGAAGGTTTCCATCTCCTCTGTTATTGTGAAAGCGTGCGTGATAAGAAGCATCGAGGACTTTTGGTTAGATTACTCGTGAAGCAATAGAGAAAGTGGAAGAGAGCGAGAGAGAATAATGAAGTAAGCGTCATGTCGGGTGTAGACTACGTATATACTCGATAAAGTACAGAGACCGAGCTGTACGACAAACTGTCTTGCGATTTGAATTGGAGCTGTTATACATTTTAAAAGCGTGTCGTGCATTACGAGTGCGTATATAACACAAGTACGCGCTGCACTTTCTGCGAGTGCAATACACTGCTAGCGCGATATGCATTGTTAGTTGCGAACTGCAATCACGTAGACGTGTACTCTCTATGGCTGCGCGCCGCTTGTTTGTATTTTCTGTAAGCGCGATACGCTCCGGCATTACAACTGTTTATCTCGAGTATCATTGAGAGAGCGAAACGAGAACAAGCCACATGTGCGTGCGCGCGCGCGCGCGTTTTTCTCATTCGCAAGCTGAGTGTGCCGCCGCTACGTTCTGTAAGCCTCTCCGAGAATCGATGCACGCGCCTCGCCCATTATTCGTAACAGGTGGACTGCGAATGCGACCAATGAAATTTTAAGCGGTCGTAAGAGAAAAGAACGCGAATTGATTCGTTGCCGGTGGACTGCAAACTTTTAATTTCCTCTTTGAAATTAAAATAAAAGAGGCCAAATGATTTTCCGATTCATTAATCACGTACACGCAGTGGCCGCACTCGTTTGCGAAAATTAATGGCCATTAAAATAATGAGTATTATATCGTGAGTGCCACGAGCGGGAATGTCCAAGCAAAAAACGCGCAGGCAAAAGAAGCGTGGAGGCAGCACGAGCACACAAAACGTTTAATTCGCGCTGGCATGAAAAAAGCTCATCATCGACAATTGCATCGGAGAGATCGATGACGCCGAAGATGGGACAAAGGTGGGAAAAAGTGTGTTTTGGCATGAACGTTAACGAGACAACTCACCGGGTTGACAGTTGGTATTGCAGTCGTTTTTTTGCTGAGCCGCTCCAAGGCAGGGTTGTCCGCCATTCATAGGAGCCGGGTTGGTACACGTACGCGTCCTCTTTTGTCCGCCTTTGGCGCATCTACTGTGACACTCGGACCATGCTGACCAGGACGACCAACCTCCGTTAACTGTAAAGACCAGGCGCACACGTACGCACACGTCGGTTAGTATAAAGTAGACTCGAGTATTTGCCGCGCGTGCACACGTGCGAGACTTATCCCCTGCACACGTACGCTTTCATTGAGAAACAGAGAATGGGACGACTCGGCCGATTAGGTATTGCGCCTTTTCCTCTTGCGCCGAGTGCGCGACTGTGTGGAGCAGTGAAATGAATACGCTGTTCCAGTGAAATAGATTTGTCTGTTCTCGAGGCTAAAGTCGACTAGTATTGTCTGCCAGGCCGCAGCAGCAGAGAGCTTTTACAGAGACTATTTACGTACCTCGGAGAGACTACGACACGGTACATAGAGGTGCTTTTAACCAGTTAATGACGTTGCGTCAGACATTATATGCCCCCTCGGACGTGAAGCAGTGCAGCAAGTGCAGCATCTTTTAATAAACTCTTGCGGAATAATCCGATCGAGCAACTCGGCTAGAGTCAACTGTCGCGCGCTCGCTTTCATTTGAATAATCCAGTGGCATTCTATCGAACGGTTAATAAAGTAATCAGCTCTAATACGGGCATTAAAACGAATGAGTTCGTCCGAATGACACTAATAACGCATTAAATGTTCGAGCAAGCGCTGCGCGAGCGCGGCTTGCGCAACGCCGTTTAATAGCACTTTTGCGGAAAGCGACAAAAAAGAAAAGGCGAAAAGGCGAAAAGCCGTTACGGGCGCGCGCGATTTTTTCGCGCTCGGCTAACTACATTCATAGATTGCCAGCGCTAGCGCGGCAAAAAGGAGATTGAGCGCTCAAACGAGATTGTGCAATGGGACAATCTTCTTGTCGCCAGAGAACTCGAGCGATGTTTATTGCATTCCGTCTCTGTCTCGCTGCCGTTGCCAACTGCGACACAAATATTCCGCAGCGGCATGGGCTTTTAATCGACCGCTCCGACGTTGAAAGATTACGTTGGCTTTCGCGTTATTATTTTCGTTTTTTTTTTTTTTTTGTTCACGCGAGTAATGAGGAGCGCGAGGATGCCGCGCACTTTTCTCCAACGAGAGCCAGAAAAGCAAGCAGCGAACAACAGAGACGGAGGAAGAAGCAGAAGACCCATAAAATTCCCTTAGGTGTGAAGGAAAAATGTCGGCCCTCGAAAAAAGGTAATCCGATCTCTTGCCGCGCTGCATCGATCATCGTCCCGTGACAGTTCTTGCGCTACAAGAAAACTCCGCTGCTCTCTCGCTGGGACCCGTAAACACTTTTCTTCTGCTGGCGCGCGGCGCGAGAAAGTCGATCCAAATCCGGACACTGGTCTCAAGTTGCTCGTGCGTGTATTACGTCTCTATAGCAAAGTCCGTGCGAGCAGCGCGCACAAGGGACGTAATCCGTGACAAGCGCGCGCACAGGTAATAGACACGTATACAGGGGGGAAGGTTGCAGTGTATACGCCGAAAATGCCGTTGTATTGCCGCTCGCTGTATCTAAGTGGAAAAAAAAACCCGCAGGGGCTGTTAGAAACCAATTTGAAACGTGTCACCCTGTACATATTTTGATCGGTCTTCAACTGAAAATATACGATGGGTTTATCGATTGGCGCGCGACGCACATTACAGACTTTGAGGAAGTCTATTTGCACGCAGCGCTGGCGCGACGTCACGAGCATTTTCATAATTAGCCGTAATGGGGACGTCGGTCGGTCGACTTACCGGCAGCGCTGCTGTGTTTGCCAAAACACGCGCGACACGTCAATTAATAAACCACTGAATTGGAAATAGTCGGACATTGCTGAAGTTTGCGCGGAAAATGGTGGCGGTAGCAGCGAGCCAGCAGGCAATGAATAATTAGAAAGCGCAAGAGCGGAGAGTGGCTAACTGGTCAAAACAGATCGTGGAAAAAGCAGCCTAAAGAATGCCGTGAGACGCGTCCACGTCCCGCGGGCAAGATAAGCCTCGACAAAAGAGCCTGCACAAAAGAGGACTAGAGAACGAGGAGGAGAGAAAAAAACGGAGAAGCCAAGAGATAGACTCACCGTAGACAGTGATGCTGGCGGGGTCGCTCTGCCTCTTGGCGGCAATGTTCTCGGCAACGCAGGTATAGTTGGCCATGTGAGAGAGCTTGGCTTGGCCGACAAGCAGATGGCCCTCGCTCGATACCAGCAGCGTATCCGCGGTGCTTGGCTCGCTCGCGTCCAGCGCCAGGCCATTCCTCAGCCAGTAGACCCGAGGCGGCGGTAGACCTATCGGCGCTAGGCATCGCAATTCCGTGCCTTGACCGGCCTCCACCGACACGCTGTACGGCGGCGACTCGAATTGTTTCTTCAAATCTATACCAGCGCATACACACAAAGATCATGACTGTCGATTATGTACGTGCCAAAGCGGCTCTCCGCGAGACCAACCGAGAGAGGATCACGAGTCGAAGGATAATTTTGCACCGAGATCAGCCCCGACCGATAGCCTTTTCGGACTTTTCTCCCTCTCGCTCGCCTCAAATATCTATTTTTCAACGACTGCCGGCCGGTACTGTTCTTTTCGACATTCAGAGCTCTTCGTATCTACCCAACAGACTTTTTTCTCACGAAACTTCGTCGCGAGCCGTGCACGCGGAAATCGTTCCAGCTTATCGTAATTATCGAGCCATCGAAAGGCCTACTCCAATCGAGTGACTTCTTTACGGCAACCTCGTGAAAATTTACACTATATTCGCTCGTGCGAGTAATCGGGATGTCCAATGGAACGCGCAGTCTCGCTTCAGTTGCCTGTCGAAAGCCAATTTATTTACAAATGATGCGCGAATATTCTTTATCTGCAGCCGGACAGAAGAAATACGAGCTGCGCGCCCACAAATTGTTTCTTCAGATCCGAGAGGATAAAGGCGGGGGGAGGGGGGGGGGGGCAAGTACACGCGCGTACACACGTAGATGGGGGAGGCTCTTGCATGTACACGTAAGCCGAGAGATTACCAATATTGATAGAGGAAATCGGATAATTTTCCGAGCACTCAATATTCCGCAAGCGTCGTCGCTCGTTCTCGTCGTCGGTATGCTCCCCTGCGCGGCGGAACAGAGAGAAAGACAGACGCTGCTGAGATCTCGTTACGGGCAAAAATTACGAAGGAGAGGCCAGATGTGCGCCTGATTTCTCGAGAGCCTCTCAATGAAGCGCGCGCGCGCTCAAACTCTAAGCTTCGCTCTCTCCACGCCAGCACCGCGGCTTTTCTTATTTTCTCCTTTGCGTGGCTTTTCTTTTTCCACAGGGAGAGGCAGGTGGAGAGGGGAACTTGTTACCGCCTGGATATATACCTCCTGTCGCGTCTGTTTCGCGCGCAAAAGGCTAAAACTTGCGAGCGTCTGAGACCAAGCTACAAACAATGCGACTTTTCTAGTTATATGAACTTTGGCCTCGCCCGCGCCGGTGGAATTGAAGGAGGAGCGCGCGCCACTCGCTCGATTCTACGATCAGGCCGCCGCGCGCTTGGTCGCGCTAACTTTCAATTACTTTATATCTTGAGGAAGAACTTCTAAAGATTAATATTTGGCCGATAAGAGGACCTCTGATAATGTTATCGTTTGATTGATTTACGTTGATTTCATTTTTTTGTTGACAAGGGCTGTTCACCCTGGCTCCTTTTTGATTTCAGTTTGTCGCCCCCCCCCCCCCTCCCCGCACTCTCGTCGGGTTAATCCCTTTACCGCGCTTTCCTAGATAAGTAATTGATAAGGGAGTCGCGCGCGATACATGTTATAGACAGCAAGGAGAGGGAACTTTGTGTACGTCAATTTTCGAACCGTGAAACATTATAGCGCACGTAAATTAGGAAGCTGAGAGATAGAGAACAAGACCCCCGGAGACCGTACATACCATACCCTCATCGATCTAAAATTAGAGGAAGAGGGAGGGGGAAAAACGCACGTAGAAAATCCTTTATCAATTTGCAAGCGGAACGTATAACAGCACGCGCAGAAGCTAATTAGCGATAACAAACGAGACCGCAGAAAATATTTTCCCGCGCTATCTAATTTCGTTTGGTCGCGCGTCTATCTATTTTCTTTTTGTACATGGAAAGCAGCTGATGTCCCTATAGCCATACACACAGAAGTATCGCGAATGCACGCTGCACAATAGTGAATAATGCCCCTATTGTTCTTCGAACAGTAAGCGACTCTTGCATGCGCGCTGCTGCATTGGAAAAGTGCAGCTCACGCGCGCGCATACGCTTTTATAAAGGCAACAAAAAAAATTCCGCCTCTCTCTCTCTCTGTCAGTCCGTTTATATCGCGAGCCAGGCAGACCTTAATTGACGAATGAATAAATCAAGCCTTGCCACTTAAATCTTAACTTCTTGCAGTAGTCACGTCTCCACACTTACGTATGCCGAGAGGCAGAAGATCGATCGTGTTTATGACGGATCTGGAAGTGTCGACGCGAGAGCGATGTTTGGTGAAAATAAAAAGACGCGGAAGAGAGAAGCATAGAAGTTAAAGTTGAATGCGATGGACTGTTTCGACAGAAGCCACAGGCCTCATGCCGGTAAGTGAAAATACTCTGGTTAAAGCAGCGCGAACTATATCGCAGGAGCGTCGAGCCGTTCATTGGTGAAATGCCACAACTCGACAAACAGGCCTTTATTTTACTTGGCATCTCGGTTGTAGGCCCCGCAGCGGTAGACATGCTCCCTCCCACCCTCCCTCACGGCAACCGACCGCCCGCGCTGACGGGGGTTTTAATCTTGACTCTCTGTGTGCGCGAGCCTCCCGGAGCCTCCCGGAGCCTCCTTCCGGGTGCTTAATTATTAAACAAACACTTGCGCTTTCACATGCTAATTAGCGTCTCTCGAATCATTTATTCCGTTTGACTTTTCTTTTTCTTTGGTGAAATCTGCGCGAGCTTTTTAACTTCTCGACGCGCGGCAAAATCTTTGTTTTTATTCGTCGTAATGTCGTCAGCTTTCGCCTAATAGAACGCATAATTGATAGAGAGCAAAAAGCATTGAAAGTGGCTTGTCGACTAATTTCCAACACTATATAGTTGGTGAAAATAGTTGACGACTTACAAATACGCTGAAAACTCGTTCGATCAATCTCTCAGTTGTCTCGGTGTAATTAGAAGCGCCATCGAAGCGCGTAAAATTTTGAAGCGCGCGCGAAAACAGGAAATTCCCAAGTGTATATAGGTATATGCTTACATGCGACATCGATGGTTGCCGGTTGACTGTTAATCTCTCCGGAGCCCGACCAAGCGACGCAGTCGCACTTGTACTTGTTCTTGCTGAAATACTCTTCAATGTCGTTGCGCGTGATGTTTAACTCGCTCTCGATAATGCGCGTACCAGTGTGAGGATCCACGAACTCCTGTTGGAAATGATTCTTGACGCGGTCTCCGTTGCAACGGAAGTACACGAGCAACGCGTGAGCTGCTTTACAGGTGAGGGTTGTCGGCTTGTTCCTGACGATGTACGAGTCGATGGGTTCGGTTAAGAACACTGGTAAATTACCACCCGCGATCAGTTCCGGGTCACTGGCTATCGTCGCTGATGGATTCTCATCCTCCTCAACGTAAGTCTCATCGTCTTCCGAGCCCACATCTTCGCTCGCTGCAACAACGCAAAAATATTTTTAGTTTTCTTTTTATGTTATTCAGCTTATTTTTCTTTGCAAAAATCTCTTATTCACTGGGACTACAGATTTTCTTACTTCTGATTAGAGACTAAAATGGAATTCCTCTTTTCCGCGTTCTACTCAAACGCACGCTCAAACTGTTTTCTCTTTAATTTCTCACGCTACTTTATTTTCATGTTCATTAGCGAAGTAATGAACTCATTTCGATGCAAACGAAATTGAAACTTAAACCTTTTATTCTCTTTCTCATTAGACCTTTTAGATGAAAAACTTTTCTTTCTACAGCGAACGTGAATTAAAATAAAAATTTTATCTCTCGAGGTGGACGACAAATAAAAGCTAATCGTGAGTGAAGTTGCAATTTACGTTCGTTTCGCTATCGTCAATGGAAAAATTAATCGACATCTTTAAGGCTATCGTTTCATATAAAAATCATAAAATTTCAGGTGCGTGAAATTTTATGAGTTACTTGTAATAGGATCGGCTTATTATCCACTCTTATAATGGACTTGAACAACTTCCCTTTCATTATTTTGTTATTTGAGTTTCTGCCTCGATCGAACAATGAAGATTTTCGTTGTAAGGTTTTCTTGGCTCGTATTGCCCTGTAACGTTGATCATGAATTCGTTCAAAGTCGTAACTTATTACGCACCGAAGATTATTGGAGTTTATTTGAAAAAGGAATAGAAGATTTGAGGGGATTCGCCTTAACACGCCCAACGTAAATATTTTTCGTTCACTCTTTGCCTGATTAGTTTCACATATGTATTTCTAATGTACGTTTACATCGTCGGTTATATCAGGTATGATTGTCATGCGATGTTGAGCCATATTACGCCGCGCCAATTGAAATAGCGATCCGTACACATTTGCAGAACACGAATAGTTCAACGTTACTCCAGATAGCTCACGTTCGATTGCTCGATCGTGCGACATGCACCAGATTCTGGCCATTCGCTCGATCTTTGCACTTGTGCACGTCTGTAGTTGAACGGAAATTGATAAGATTGTTAGGGTGATTCAGGAGCTGCTTTAGTCGTATACGTGGCCGCCAGCTCAACACGACGGCATATTGAGTAAGCCAAACTTGTACAGAAACGTTAGCGCTTTTGTGGAATGGATACAAGCTGAACTTGCGAGACATGCTGACAAATTGACGTTCGCCTGATTCTCATAGCTCCTCCGAGTGTGAGACAGAAGCAACCAATGAAAAAGACAAAAACCGATTCGTCAATAACAAAGGAGTTACTGTTTTTCGCCACTGGCGAACGAACGAAACAATGCGCCCACACTGCACGAACGAGTATCGCTATTTATTGCCTTTGGCAGACTCGACTATTATATAGCAGCGAAAGAATCTACACTGGGGTCATTACGCGATATTCGAGTATAAAGTTCTCGACGCGGGAATAAAAGAAAAAAATCACCGAGATAGTGTGTATGGAAACTCTCTTGTGCGAACTTTCTTTTGAGCGCGTTTCTCTCTCTCTCTCTCTTTCTCTCTCTCTTCGCTTGCAGCAGCAGCATAAAGAGAAGCTTCGGAATTAACTCATTCACGGGCGAGCACTTTGAAGAGATGCCAACGTGAAGGGAAATTTTCGTGTTCTGTGAGCCGAGCAGCGCGTGTATTATATATGATGCTACACGCATAATGTATAAAAGAAGGGGAATGAGAAAATTGGAAAATATTGGCAAAAATGATGTTGATATAAGGCGAGAGCAAATAGTCTTTTCCTTCAAAGGGATATAGCCGAGCTTCATCAGACGCGGGGAGAAAGATGATATTTCTCGTTGAGCGCAAAAAGTAATCGTGTGTAATTAGGCTGCACACGCTCGCGCGCCTTGTGAGCTTTTACGCCTCGCAATAAATATTTTCGGAGCGTGGTCGACGCTGCGCTGGACAGCAAACTCCCATTGTTTTATACACATCTGCCGTGTCGTATGCTTGGATCAAGTGATACATAAACGATGTATCCTGTATATGAAATTGTACAATGAAATTAATTCGGGCCAATCGAACGAGAGATAAATGTGCATCGCAATCAATTAGAGCCGATTGGCGTCGCGGCGTTTATTTAAAGAAGAGACGCCGGCGACAGCAAGGCTGCCTAGCGCTAAATAAAGCGGCACTGAGCAACATTCAGAAGTTGAATGAAGACACGTCCTCGAATTGCCCTGGCGCTTTATGGCCTAAGCTTCAGAAATCGTAATAAAAGTTTTGCAGGCATCCGGTTAATATTTATAACTCGTAAAAGCGGCGCGCTCCTTGTTCAACTGCGAAAACGCGCGCGCAGCAAAAGAAGCTAAATAACGTCGCTTCGAGTAGCGCAACTAAAAAAGATCGTCAAGTAAATCGCTTCCAAGTGCAGCGATTTCGCGCTATAAAATGCAAAATCAGCCAGCGCTACAGAATTGATACAAGCGCGCGAGCCGTAATCGGCTGCCTATAAAGTCTTCGAAGCCGAACTCGTACGGTAGTCTATTCGAGGAGAGAAGGAGAGCCGATGCCAAATTGGCTCTGCACTCGTCGTCGAGGGAGAGAGCCAAGAACAAAAATTCACCCTCGACAGCCAATAATTATCTTCACGGTTAGAGCGCGCTTGCATACGCGCAGCGAGCCTCCGCCTTTCTTATCCCTCGAATCGATGAATTATCGGCACCAGCGACGCAAGATAATTACGCAATACGTCACGACCTCATCAACTCCGAGCTCTCTCTCGATTTTTATTGTCGCTGTACGCCGCATTCGCGTATATTGTTCGCCTGGTAACGAACTACATTGTGCATGCGTGCCACGAGTATCCGGCCACGCTTTATTGAATGCGATCATCTTCAAGGGTTTGTAGTCTACTCCCGTGTAGAGTGTACGCGCTTTATTGGAAATTTCTGATTACACGTACTACTCTGTCGCAGAGAATTCATGGTATCCTATAGTGGTCGTGTACAATGAAATATTTCTTTGAAAAAAGGCTGCTCATATGTGTCATTATGATTGACGGCTTCTGCTTCAAAAACAGAGAGAGAGAGAGAGAGAGAGAGAGAGAGAGAGAGAGAGAGGAGAGAGAGAGAGAGAGAGAGAGAGAGAGAGAGAGAGAGAGAGAGAGAGAGAGAGAGAGAGAGAGAGAGAGAGGAGAGAGAGAGAGAGAGAGAGAGAGTTATAGTTTGGCATTTGAGATGATTTAGTTTGTACGTCATTCATGATTTATCCTACGATCAAGCGCTCCAAATCAAGCTTTTTGTTTCAACTGTCAGACACATAGAGCACATCACTTGATCCAATTTAAAGTATGGCATATCGATCGACTCTTCATTCTCTCTTGCGACACACGTGCGATGAAATAATTTCGCGGAATCCGCGCAACACGCGTTATCTATAGTCTAGTTCAGCCCATACCAATCAGTTTACTCGCATATCCGCGCACGCACACGCACGCGAAAAATTACTCGAGCGTTGCAAAAAGAAAAAATAGCCGAGAACAAGAAGAGAAAGAGTTAACGGCTCCTAAGCGCGTTCCATGGATAATTCATCAAAGGAGCCGCGCGCTGCGGCATCATCCGGTTTTTTCAAGGACTCGCTTGGCTACAATCAGATCCAGAGCACGCACAGCCGTGCGCCTCCATCGATTTATTCTCGTCTTGCTAGGGAGAGATAGAGCGCGCGCGATCGTTAATTCATTAGTGATTTTTCAAGTGGAACGCGCATCGCGGAGACGATCGATCGACATACATATACGATCAAGTTTCTCACCTTCGTCGGAGGTGAACGAGCTTGAGGGCAGCACGAGGCAGCCGAGGCAGAGCCACGCGAAAAACAACAACCAGCAGCACGATCTCGGCCTCATTTCGATCGTCCTCCGCTTCTCATGCTCTCCTCTCCACAGGCTGCTGCAGCTCCGCTGGGCGACGACGATTTTCCGAAAAAAAAAAAAAAAAAACTGCGCCCACTTTTATGCGCCTTGGGCTACTCCACCTCTATCCCAACTGATGGAGATCCCTGCAACAAAATGCATACCGCGTTATTTCTCCGTCTACCTCCTTCGCTGGGTCATTATCTGCGAGTACGTGTGTATGTGTCTGCGCTATACTGCCGTTCGTAACCTCGACGGCAAATTGTCGTGAAAGCGATAATTGCCAAGTACACGAGTGCGCTTGCTTCCATCGAGAGCCTAAAAGAAGGGCACGACAGAAGCTATTTGCGATCGACGACAATATAATAAAGATATAAATTTGAGCGTGTTCAGCGCGACAGAGAGAGCGTCGAGTCAATCGTTCACGACGATGCGCACTTATCAGTCTGAGCCTCCGTGTGTACGTACGAATCGCCGCAATAGCTTATGATTTATATGTGCATTCGTAATGTAAACATCGGTTTAAAAAGTAGATTAAACATTGGCAAAACATCAGACTTATTGCTTCACGAGCCAAAAAAATCTTTACATAACGACGTTTGTAAAGTTAATTTGCAGTAGAGGTTTTTATTTTTTTGCGAGTTGGATAAGGGCCCGCATGATAATGAAAGAGTCGACGCACAAAATTCTTACGTAAAATATATCGTCGACGTATCCGCCTTTGACCTGCGGCAGCAGCTTACAGCGTGCACTCGAGGATATTCGCGCCGAGGGAAAGCGGTTAAAAGCGACATTTTTCATTTGGGGAAGGGGCTTTCGGTTAACTAACGTCTACATTGTGCAATCTTTATAAGCGTCAAATAAATCAATAAGCTCGCGAGTTATTTATCTCGTCCGCGCGCGAATATGCTTATTATAATTAGTCGAGTCAAGTAAAATTCTTGTGCGGTGATTTCGGCATGCATACATTTCCAATGTTACGTTTGCCGAAGGGAGAGACAAGGAAAATCAGCATCGAAAGTATTGAATTTTCTATTCGGTAATGAGCTGCTCTCCGCTAAATGGTATAAAGCAATTAATTATTTAAATTGTTTACACGAGAAACCATTTAGCTGACTGAGAGAAACTCTATACATTGCACCGCAATTAATTTATCTAAACTATTCATAAATCAATTGCAAAATCACACTACAATGCGTTATTTTGTAGAAAAGCAAAACAACTACCGGATGCCATCAGTATCGAAATCTTCGAGGTTAACGTCATTGTTGGACCTAATAATAAACGTTTGTTCAACGACATAAAAAAGGAGGGTAGAGACGCTTTCAAGTTTCCGAAAATGAGTTTATTGTAGGCGCCTCGCGGACATTTGTTTTTTCAAATAAGCTTGCTATTTGACTTGCGTCAGCTCGCGAGGGGAGTAGGGACAAGCTGCTGCTGGCCGCATACGAAAATACATAAGCGTCAAAAAAAGTAGGCTGCCGCGCGCATGTCAATGCGCCTCTTAAAGACATACACACACACGGACACGAGAGGCTCTGAAAAAAGCTAAGCAAATATTATTCCTATCTGAGCAACTCGCTAAAAAAGAGGCCACTGAAAGGCGCATTTTCACGTCGTTAGGCTACTTGTTTGAAACACTATTAATGTAAGAGGACGAGAGCTTATAACCACTTTAGAAAAATTTTCATTGCGAGACCGCCGACGACGATGATTGAATCGGATCAAGTTTTTCTTTTCTTTCTTTTTTTGCGCTTGTTTTCTTTGTGCCGAGTGTCTGTGTATATATGGGGCTGATGCTGACGCTCAGACGAAAGAGCGAGAGATTATCTTATCTCGTTTTGTTACATTATGCATTAGAAAAAAGGTCCATGAAAGATTTTATAAGGGCGAAACTACATGTTAATATGTTTTCTGCAGTGTGTAAATACATATTTATGCAGTTTCACATTTTATCTTTGATCGTATTACTTTGTTGTGTAATTAAAGCTGCTGTTTTGCCTGTACTTCATTTGGAAAAACTTGTACATCCTTATTAATTTTCACGCGAGAGAAAGAGAGAGAAAGAGAGAGAGAGAGAGAGAGAGAGAACGAGAGATAACCGTAATCGGGCTGAAAACGTGAACTGAATTTAAGGGGTGTATACACGGACTATAATATACTTAGAATTTGAAATGTTAATCGAGCACTAGAAATAATTATAATACAATCGCGATACTGTCTCTCTATATTCTCATTATGTAAAATTCATTGATCAAGTAATATTTTGGTCGTTCGAAACTTCATTAAAAATTACAACGAATAATATAAATAGGCTCATTTGCAATTTATTAAATCATGCTCGACTTCAATAATATGCAGTTATATATCAATTTCATGATTTTAAATGGTAATCTAGTTGTTAAAACTATTGTAAGATCACCATTTTATATGAATAATAATACAAAATTATTTATATTTAAATATTTAAAAATATTTCTACATATTCGCTACAGTAACAATTGTAGAATTGTCGAAAAAAAAAGACTTCAAAGTGTTTGTGTCAGTGTTGTTCCATTCTGAACAGAAGTTATAAATAAGCTTGGTCAAAGTTGCGTATACAGCAACGTTATACCGCCGTGAATCAAAGGCAAATTCATTCAAACGGAACGATAATTTAAAGTACATTTAAAATTCAAATAGAACAAGAAGGAAGAAAAAAAGAACTGAACAAGAAACTCGGCGACGAGGGACAATTAGAAAGTCACTTCCCAAGGTATTGTGTTTGAAATTTCCACAGACAGGACACACTCGAAGGGGCAGTTTTTTCCCGCAGGTATAAATATAACGGCACGCGACGACAGGCACCAGGTGGAAAGTTGAAAGGGCAAGAGGAGGGAAAGCAATAAAAGTTGCCTTGGAAAAGCGCCATAAGGTATATGTGAATGGCCATTTCTCTCCCCTTTGGGAATGAAAAATTTTCAGGATGAGCATGCATCATGAAGGTAAGGTATCCCACGATGGGCCTAGCTACGCAGCCAAACATCTGAACACGAGCAGCGTCAACAGTGTATACCTCAGGCTTGTGTATCTATTTGTGTGGGAGCCGATCGCCGCAACAATAGCCGAAAATCAAGTGTGCGCATGTGCCTGCATCTACGTGTGTGTGAAACACCTCTCGCGGTGCAATCACCTCGCGGCTGCGGCGCCTGCTGTGTTTATTCAACGCGTGTTTACCCTAACGAGGTTAACATCCAAAATCTCTTAACTCCATCGGAAGAGAGCCCCCTTATCCGATCGTGTACCTGCTGCACGCACTCGAGTCTATACGTATACCGTACTGCTCCAGCACGGCGCGCGCGCGAATGTACACTTGATTAAGAGGCTGCTGCTCTCTCTCTCTTGCGCTCTCTTACAGTCTCTATCTTTTCGCCGTTCGTCGTGTCGCTCATAATATAATACACAACGGCAAAAAGCGAGCAGTCGCCTCGACTAATCCACACTGGTGACACTCTCGGCACGCCAATTTGTAGATAAAAGTGCTTTGATGTAGCGTCATTTCTTTTTTACTCCTTCCGCACACGCAAAGTGCCAACGCATATACGACATGCTGCCGCAAGTATATACAATGATATTTGACGGTCATTAAAGCATCGCAGCAGCAGCCTCTCTTTCTATAAATACATCTCAGGCGAAACGCGCTTCCGTTTTATTTGCGCGGGACAATATAGGTGGTTATTAGGGGATCGTGTCTCGTCGGGGGAAAAAGTCAGCTGTTAGGGGCCTCCCGTGATGTGTTTTACGGGGCGACGAAAGGCCTCGTTTTTTAGAGAGCGAGAGAATACGCGATCTCCGGGAACGATTGACGGAGTGCGAGCTTAATTGCCCGAGCGAGGGTGCCCGCTTAAATATATTATACACGAGGGCTTTACTCATTTGCTTCGTGGCAGCGCGCGCGCAAGTTAATGAATATTTTTCTTTTCCTTTTGTTCGCCCAGAGAGGACAAGCTTTCGGTTAGCTCGCGCACACGTAGGGTGATTAGATCTCTAACTGATTCCGAGGGTGCGATTAGACGACTGCGATTGGGCGCCGAGGAAATTGCTTGTATACACGACGAAAACCGCTGTCTCTCGTTCAATTCTAATGCGCGATGCTTGCGCGTCGGACTCCACGGCAACTATTGTTTAGCGTTCGTTCTTTCAGAATCATCTTACGTACGCTTTTCCGATCGGTCGTCAATTGACGAGCGCGGCTTCGATGTAACGCCGATTGCCGGCGACGATCCCGAACCTTCATCGCTTTCCACGATAAAACCCGTCTGTACAATAGAACCCCCGCCGCTGTGCGCTCGCGATTTATGCACCTCATCGTTTATGCCACGCTCTCCCGAAAAAAAAAAAAAAAAAAAAACAAAATGAAATAAAACAAGAAGAAAGAGCAGAGATGGCGAAAGGCGAGCGTTTATCAATCAGGCGACAGGCTTTATAGCCGCGGCAGTATAGACCCGATCTCTCACGGCCATTACGTTAAATTACAATCAAATATAACTGCAACCTGCGAAGAAAAATGAAAATCTATTTCTCCGCGCGGCGCGCACGACCTCGTGAAATTACAAGCACTTTGTCTCTTCCCGGCGCGCGTATGCCGACAAAGGAGGGCCAGCGGCAGCCGTACGTAAAAACGATTACCGAATCCGATTGTTCACGCTTCGCTCATTTTTCGAGTGTCCGTAGAGAGGGAGAGAGGGGCGGGGAGAGCGACGGGTTGGGGGGGGGGGGGCAGGTACGAGTTCTCACGGGCGCATCTTGCGAGCGCTGCACGCTCGCGCAGATGGCTCCTGCACGCAGCGCTGCCGCACGTGTCACCAGGTGAGGAAGCTGCTTCCGGGCTATCTCGTCGCGACGATCTGACTGGCGGATTCCGATCGCGTAATCAGTCCCCAAAGCCCTCGACCGAGACTTTTTCTCGTGGTCCCTTTCCAGGAAGCCCGGGGAAGGAAGAGTTCGCCCGACACGTGTTTTGCTCGCAGAGACACGGACAAAGGCCCGGAGAGTGATTCCATGGAAGTTGCCAACGACGTAACCCCGCGGCGCTGCTTTCCGCTGCCAAGTGCTCCATATGACTTTTTTGCGCGCATCACGGAGCGGCCATTAAGAGCGAGGGCAGCTCTGCACGGCGCTGCCGCGCAGTCAGCATAGCAAAAAGCGCAGACAGTAATAGATCGCTCAACGCTCGGAGCTTTGATGCTCTCGTGCGCGGCTAATTGGAGCGCCGCGCGCCGCCGCCACTTGAAAACTTGCAGCGCATTTCAGCTCGTGCCCTTTTATATTCGCCTGGTGCTGTCGAAAAGCCTGGAGCGAGTACCGTGTCGCGCGTGTCGTCTCATAGACGTGTGCAAGAGAAAACAGTGTTTTCGTGCGGTTCAACAGGTTTTACGAGCGCTAGCGCTCCACGGTTTTAGATAAAGCCAACAGTAAATTTCTTTCAGACTCGGGATAATAAATGTCACATAATTCGATTTGCGCTCGCTTTCCGGAAAAAAAGTGGAGAGGGAAGGCGGCGGCGCTGCAGCGTATATATCCCCGTTTTTTGCTGTGTAGCATGCGGTCTACGGCTCGCAGCGGGCGTAAAACTATACCTTTCGACAGTGTTTACACTATATATATATATGCAGGCGGCGAGCGCAGCGATAACAGTTAAGTGTAATGTGACACACAAAAGAAGTAAGAAAAGTGTCGGCCTCGCGCGCAAGAGAAATTTGAATGGCACATATGCAAAACATTACTAAAACTGTCCTACGATACGCGCATACTTTGCAGTCGCATAACTTACCTATCGTTAATAAGACCAAAACTTCTTATCTCAACCGTACTGTGCCTCTTTGTTTTTTTTCAATTGTATGATTTATCCAGTCTCGCCTGCTTGCCAATTAAAATACAATGTGCGCAAGCCACCTATCGAATACCAATCTGATGCACGATATTGCAAACGCCAATTGTTTATAGCCTCGAGTGTATAAATCCTCCGGTAATTAACTTGGGGGAACCAGCATACATGAAAGAGAGATAGAGAGAGAGAGAGAGCAACAAGTCCCTCGGCGCAGACTTACAAATGAGCAGTGATATGTTAGAGTTGGTAAAACGTGAGAGACAACTAATAATCTCGCATCTTCTAGCTTATCGGTTTGGGAGCTTGCACAATACACGTACACGCATGGACGAGAAACGAGACCGTTCGGACAACTCGCATAATTTATTATAATTCGCGAGTGACTGCTCTTTCATACTACTCACCGGTGAAAAGAGGAACAGTGTACAAGAGGAGACGACGACGACGACGACGACGACGATGACGACGACGACGACGACGACGACGACAACGACGACGCTGAAGGAAGAACGGACAATAAATCCATTATACGCCAACGGCGGCCACGGCAGCGTCAGCGCCAATCCACCAACCACTCATCTCTCGGTCATTTCATCATTTTATCTTGCACTCTCTCTCTATATATATATATACAAATACATATATATATATATATATACAATACGCGTTTACTCGCTCACTTCACTGCCTCGCTCTCACACTAGTCACTTCCGTCCGTCCGTCCGTCCGCACACTTGAAAGAGTCAGCCGTTTATTTTCCCACGATTGACGATTTTCATTAAAGATAAAAGTTCCGGCTGAATCGATGATCGTTAATTGATGAATCGCGAACGAGATCGCTCGGCAAAGAAGAGCAAATCAGTGCGCGAACCGTATGCCGTGCGTGTTTATGTGCCGGTTTAAAGCGAAGAGCACGAAGCGTACTCCTCCCGTAGCGGCAACTCGGCAACGACTGAAGCACCGAATGCTCGCGAGGAGACGGCTCTGTGCAGCGTGCGCGCGTGCTGAGGCCGGCGCCGCTCGTGAGTTCCCGGCCTGACTCGTGTCTGCGCGCCGCGCGGCTCCCCCTCGGTTACAGTCGTGCCAGTCGTGATGCAGGAGAGAGCAAGACGGAGAGATACAGTCGCGCGCACCCCGGCTTCGTTGCTTTTTTTCTCCTCCTTTCTTTAAGGGCATTCTGGCAGGAAATTTCGTGTAAGGAAATACGAGGAATTTTTCGGGGACTGGTAATTGTAATTTAATTTTTTTTTCAGAGCGAGTCTGCGGAGTGTCGCGTTTCTAGAAAATGTGATTTTTTTCTTCTCTTTCTGGCGCTCACGTGATGGTGTCGAATGTATCAAGTAGCATATATTCGAACAGGAGACCTTTGTTATAACAGAGTTTAGTGCTCTTGTGTTGTTGCTATAGTATTTGATTTAGAGCTTCGAAAGCTCAACTAGTTTCAGATTGATTTTATAATCGATCGATGGGCAGTGGCAAAGAATGCTAACGAGCGTTTAGAATTGAATTTCAGTTGTTGCGAAGCATTTCGTGGCAGTGCCTGTAACGAAACACGTTCGCGCTTGATTAGAGAAACGGCACTTGACGACGGCACTGTCAATTAATAAGCAATCTGAGATACGCGATTGAGAACTGGAGATAACGGTTAGCCTTTCTTTTCGTTTTACAATGTCTTTCGATGAGAAGCTCTGAAACGACATCGTTTTTACAAACTCGACCTTTTGATACAGCGCATCCTCGAAAAATGATCCTCGACGCCAAAGATGAAATCTACGTTATGCGAATCCACCTGTGCTAATCTCGAATGTCTACGAAACGAGAGAGGATCTATGCAAATTTGGATCGCGCCTCGCAGAGAATTCAATGTCTCAGCATTTTTACAAGCGTCCGGCGAAAGTTCATCAAAGTAAACACGGTGGTTTTGTACGGGCGCTAAAAAAGGAGTCGTGGAACGAGGAAAAACGGCGATACATAGAAATTGGAACGCCGACTGGTTTTGTTGCAGAGTCGGACGAAGCGGCGAAACAATGTAATCGCTTATGGCCCCGGTGGTGCCGGCGATAGCAATCGAAAGCAGTCATCCGGCTAGACTGGGCGCGTATCAAAGGCAGCCCCTTCGAATGATCTCCAAAATGAAAATCAAAGCTTTCGTCGAGCGGCATGTGCGTCCGATCCGTCCAGCAAACCGTGGACCTTGGCTGTGCGCAACAGAGAGTATTGTATAGGCGCCAGCTGCGCCGGTGGCCGGCTTCGCCGCGCCGGCAGCCGGAGGTACAAAACTCGACGACAAGTGGCTCCCTGAATATTTCACGATGAATAGAGTGCCTTTGCCGCTCGCGCGCGCGCGCGACTCGTCGTCGTATCGAGAGGCCAAAAGGGCGTGCTATCTCTCTTTGTCTTTCTGCTTATTTCCTCGGCTCTTACCGCTGGATTTTCTCCATTGTTCGCGATGGCCTCCTTCCTTGTCAGAGAAGAAGGATGCGAGGGCCTCCGCGCGAGCCAGGAGAAATAGCGGGCAATCTGCGAGCGAGAGCCAAGACTGGACCGAGCAAGCTTGTGTGCTCCCCCCAAGGCTCTCTGTATCTTGGCGTTTCTCTCAGCTTTAAGTATGCGAGCTCGTGCAAGTGCATTGTACAGAGAAGCAGCCCCGAGCGCACGATACAGCTATATACTTTGTAGGACTCTCCTGAGAGCAAAGAAACTCACGCACGCAGCACTCGACAAATATTTTGAATATTCCACGAGCTATTGGTAGGCTAAGGTCTAACTTTATTCATGAGAAAGAGAGAGAGAGAGAGAGGCAGATACCCCACGCGCCCTATTAAAAATTGAGCCGTTAATAACAAGTGATTTACCGATCGAGCTCCTCCAGCGGTGGTCGTGCGCGCGACCAACCGCCAGTCGTAAGAATAGGAGAGAAAAAAATCGATGCCTTCCGATATTGCCCACGAATATGAATAGATCGTAAACGGGGATTACAGTTAGATAAAGATCTTCCTCACTCCGGACTCTCGATTACATTAAAGAATGAAAAAACCACGCGCGCAATAACCAATAAATCCCTCCCGTCCCAGCTGCGGTCCCTTCACTAAATTATATTCCATCGCGCTAGCTCTCCAGAAATATATATAGAAATATATAAACTCTCCGCCGTTAATCGTCATTAATTCTCCAAACCACACGTAAGCGCACTACGGAAAAATGTATCTTTGAGAGAGAGAGAGAGAGAGAGAGAGAGAGTGGGGCCTGCCTGCCAGCCTCCTTCGTTCCTTTCTTTTTTTCTTCTTTCTTTTTTCTTTTTTTATCGTTAACTATGCGCGCGCCTCCCCGCAGAGGAGGGGAGGACGAAGGCCTCTTGGAATCATTATTTCTATGTTGCTTCGGAGCATGAAATCGGCCGAGTCAACGTCGGGAGCGGTCAGCAGTGTATGAGAAAAAGACGAGCGCGTACGAAATGATAGAGAGGAAGAGGGCAGGAGCCGGAGAAGGCAGGACGAGAGGAGAATAAAGAAGAGGAAGAAGAAGATAGCATAAAGTATCGTAAGGTGGAGGCTGGCTTGCCGCAGCTTTGGAGGGGTTATAGGCAAACGTCGTAAAAACATGATCGGCCGGGCTTGCCAACATCAATTAAAGCCGCGCCGACGGACGAAAATACGAAAGCTCTTGACTTTACGAGCGGTGTCTTGAAAAAAAATGCGCGCCTCTTGAGAAGAACACATGCGGCTACTGCGCGCGCACGCGGCTTTTCGTTCTTCTTCAGCTCACGATTAGATTGCGCTAATGGCAAGCGCCCTCGCCAGATATATCCTTATCTCTATACCAAGGCACGTCAGACCAGCAGAAAGCCGACTATTTCGTCCTCCGTTTGTCTCTGTCCTCTTTTTCTGCTTCTATTTTCTCGTGTGACCATCGGCATCTTTTCTCCCTTACGTTCTTCTCAAGCTTCGGAATGCTTTTAGTCGCGAATGAATTGGCTCCACTTTGGTATATTGGCGGAGGATTATACTATTATTCAATTTTACGAGGCGATTTTCTTTAATTTTTCTCCGAGGGACAATTTACACATCTCGAGACAGGCCACGAGGGTTTATTACGCTTAATTTCAGATAGCTCTGCTGTACGTGCATGTATACATTTTACAGCCGAGTTTTATGGGAGTGCGATTCGTTTTCCATGTTTCCAGGCATTTTTAAATTCGTATGTATGTTTGATTTTTTATGCTGGAAAACTGGATCGCTCGGTTTTCACTCTTTTCAATCGAAATGCCCATTTGCAGGCCAAGAATTAAAATGTATTGTAGCACTTTACCACGAAAAATCATCAATTAGCATATCATTCTCAAATAGCGATATGCTTTCTCGGAGTAACTCCAATCACTTTGTAAAGCTATATGAAAGAGCGATTAATATTAATGCGCTAGAGATTTGAGATCCGAATTTGAATCCCCGAGCTTACGTGTCCGACATGAAAAAAAGCATGGAGCGTAGGGCATTAGTTTTGTTTTCGTCATTCAGCATGTTATCTGGAAGTTGATTAGACTCTCTCTCTCTCTTTCTCTCTCTTTGGACCATTTTAGTACCGGCTGAAATAGCTTCATTTAGCTCCGAAAAGCCTTTCCATTTAGATCAGAGCTCGACGACGGCTTTTACCGATCGGCTACCGCAGATAACACACAAGAGAGAGAGAGAGAGAGAGAGAGAAAGAGAGAAAAACTTCTCATTCAGAAATGGATTATACGATTTCTACGGCGAAAATTAAACGTAAGTGGTACCATCACTGCTCGCTAAAGGAAACGATTTCTCGCAAAGAGGAAGAGAGAGAGAGAGAAAGGTCGCTTGAATACGAAATGACATTTCACTCGATATTTTACGCGGAATCCCATACGAAGAAAGGACAAAATGACAGTGTGTTAACGCACACATCACATATCGTAGCTTTTATTTTTGCATCGCATTCGGGTAGTCACTAGATTTTATTATACGCCATTAGATTTTGCTATCGTTGACAGAAAGCGAGCATCTTTGGTTAAAGACGTAAAACCGAACGTCTAGTCACGCCACAAGACAATTCACTTGGTCATTTCCCGACACACTTTTCCGTTGCTTGATATCTCGCATCGCACGCGTGCTGGAATAAGTGAAAAGCTCATCGAGAAAAGGGCTGCGTCTCCGATAAAGCAATAAATAAGAAGCTGTCAAAAAAGAGAAAGGAAGAACTTACATATACGCGCGGGGCAGAGAAGCGGATCCGCCTTTGTCATCAAGGACACAAAAACATGTCCTCCGGGGGAGAAAGCAAAGAAAAACTTAATCTCTCGGACGAAGCATTGTTAAAAACAAGCTGATAAGACAGTTAATTGCCATCGACAAATCTCCCAAATAGCTTACAGAGCTGGGTGTATAGGTGCAGCGCATATTCAGCGAGGGAGAAGAAAGAAAGAAAGAACGAAAGAACAGATTAACAACGGCGCGCAACTTGCGAGAAAGTACACTTTCGAAGCCACAAACAATATCACTGTCGCGAGTTATACTCTGTTTGGCCGGGGGTTTACGGCAATTTCCGCGCGCGAGTGTCATTAAAACACTCGTATAGTTTATGCCTCTCATTACCGCAACATTACTCTGATCACCGTAATAAATTACAATAACATTATCATCCTTGACTCTGCGGCCGCGGACAATTATTTTTCTTCTTTTGGGACGTGCTGTCCCGTTCAACTACTACCTGCGAGTCGATAAGCGCGTGAGAAAAAGAAGAGCCGATGCGGTCTGTGCGATAAGCCGGTTCCGAAAACAGAAAAAAAGAGTCAGCAGAAGAAGCCACGGACGCGGGCATCGGCCCAATCAGTTTCTCGAGCGCGTCGAGATTGACTGTTTATGTAGGACGCACTTTTTTTAAAAGGCCCGAGCGCGGTGATTAATCGTTTCGATATG